ATACACTCACTCATACACTCACTCATACACTCATACACTTACTCACTCATACACTCACTCACTCATACACTCATTCATACACTCACTCACTCATACACTCATACACTCACTCATACACTCACTCATACACTCACTGACTCACTCACTCATACACTCACTCATACACTCACTCATACACTCACTCATACACTCATACACTCACTCATACACTCACTGACTCACTCATACACTCACTCAGTCACTCATACACTCACTCATACACTCACTCATACACTCACTGACTCACTCATACACTCACTGACTCACTGACTCACTCACTCATACACACACACACTCACTCACTCATACACTCACTCATACACTCACTCATACACTCACTCACTCATACACTCACTCACTCACCCACCCACCCACTCACTCACCCACTCACCCACCCACCCACCGACCCTCTCACCCACCCACCCACCCACCCTCTCACTCACTCACCCACTCACTCACCCACTCACCCACCCACTCACCCACCCTCTCACCCACCCACCCACCCACTCACCTACTCACCCACTCACTCACCCACTCACCCACCCACTCACCAACTCACCCACTCACCCACCCACTCACCCACCCACCCACTCACTCACCCACCCACCCACTCACTCACCCACTCACCCACTCACCCACCCACTCATTCACTCACCCTCTCACCCACCCCCTCACTCACCCACCCACCCACCCACCCACTCACCCACCCACTCACCCACCCACTCACCCACCCACTCACTCACTCACCCACCCACCCACTCACTCACCCACTCACTCACCCACTCACCCACCCTCTCACCCACCCACCCACCCACTCACCAACTCACCCACCCACTCACCCACCCTCTCACCCACTCACTCACTCACCCACCCACTCACTCACCCACTCACTCACCTTCTCACTCACCCACCCACTCACCCACCCACTCACCCACCCACCCACCCACTCACCAACTCACCCACCCACTCACTCACCCACTCACTCACCCACTCACCCACCCTCTCACCCACCCACCGACCCACTCACTCACTCACCCACCCTCTCACTCACCCACCCACTCACTCACCCACCCACCCACCAACTCACCCACCCACTCACTCACCCACCCACCCCTCACTCACCCACCCACCCACCCACTCACCCACCCACTCACCCACCCACTCACCACACTGTCTGGCAATGCCTGCAAGGTGCTGGTGAGTTGGTCAGCAGGTGACAGCGTCTCAGGCAGGTACATGGCCCTGGACAGGAGTAGCAGCGATGTGGGGATTTGTGCACTCAGATGGAGCTCCAGCCACTGTGGGGAGAGTGGTGGGGGGGGGGAGAGTGGTGGGGGGGAGAGTGGTGGGGGGGGGAGAGTGGTGGGGGGGGGGGAGAGTGGTGGGGGGGGAGAGTGGGAGGGAGATAATGGGTCAGTGAGTGGGTGAGTGGCTGGCTGGTTCGAGTTAGTGAGTCGGTGAGTGAGTCAGTGAGTGAGTGGCTGGATAGGTGATTGAGTGGCTAGGTGGGTGAGTGGCTAGGTGGGTGAGTGGCTAGGTGGGTGAGTGGCTGGCTGGGTGGGTGAGTTAGTGAGTCGGTGAGTGAGTGGCGGGATAGGTGATTGAGTGGCTAGGTGGGTGAGTGTGTGACTGACTGGGTGAGTGGCTAGGTGGGTGAGTGGCTAGGTGGGTGGGTGAGTTAGTGAGTCAGTGAGTGAGTCAGCGAGTGAGTGGCTGGATAGGTGATTGAGTGGCTAGGTGGGTGAGTGTGTGACTGACTGGGTGAGTGGCTAGGTGGGTGAGTGGCTAGGTGGGTGGGTGAGTTAGTGAGTGAGTCAGCGAGTGAGTGGCTGGATAGGTGATTGAGTGGCTAGGTGGGTGAGTGTGTGACTGACTGGGTGAGTGGCTAGGTGGATGAGTGGCTAGGTGGGTGAGTGGCTAGGTGGGTGGGTGAGTTAGTGAGTCAGTGAGTGAGTGGCGGGATAGGTGATTGAGTGGCTAGGTGGGTGAGTGTGTGACTGACTGGGTGAGTGGCTAGGTGGGTGAGTGGCTAGGTGGGTGGGTGAGTTAGTGAGTGAGTCAGCGAGTGAGTGGCTGGATAGGTGATTGAGTGGCTAGGTGGGTGAGTGTGTGACTGACTGGGTGAGTGGCTAGGTGGATGAGTGGCTAGGTGGGTGAGTGGCTAGGTGGGTGGGTGAGTTAGTGAGTCAGTGAGTGAGTCAGTGAGTGAGTGGCTGGATAGGTGATTGAGTGGCTAGGTGGGTAAGTGGCTAGGTGGGTGAGTGTGTGATTGTGTGACTGACTGAGCGAGTGGCTAAGGGGGTGAGTGACTAGGTGGGTGAGTGTGTGATTGTGTGATTGTGTGAGTGTGTGACTGACTGGGTGAGTGGCTAGGTGGGTGAGTGGCTAGGTGGGTGGGTGAGTTAGTGAGTCAGTGAGTGAGTCAGTGAGTGAGTGGCGGGATAGGTGATTGAGTGGCTAGGTGGGTGAGTGTGTGACTGACTGGGTGAGTGGCTAGGTGGGTGAGTGGCTAGGTGGGTGGGTGAGTTAGTGAGTGAGTCAGCGAGTGAGTGGCTGGATAGGTGATTGAGTGGCTAGGTGGGTGAGTGTGTGACTGACTGGGTGAGTGGCTAGGTGGATGAGTGGCTAGGTGGGTGAGTGGCTAGGTGGGTGGGTGAGTTAGTGAGTCAGTGAGTGAGTCAGCGAGTGAGTGGCTGGATAGGTGATTGAGTGGCTAGGTGGGTAAGTGGCTAGGTGGGTGAGTGTGTGATTGTGTGACTGACTGAGCGAGTGGCTAAGGGGGTGAGTGACTAGGTGGGTGAGTGTGTGATTGTGTGATTGTGTGAGTGTGTGACTGACTGGGTGAGTGGCTAGGTGGGTGAGTGGCTAGGTGGGTGGGTGAGTTAGTGAGTCAGTGAGTGAGTCAGCGAGTGAGTGGCTGGATAGGTGATTGAGTGGCTAGGTGGGTGAGTGTGTGACTGACTGGGTGAGTGGCTAGGTGGGTGAGTGAGTGGCTAGGTGGGTGAGTGGCTAGGTGGGTGGGTCAGCGAGTGAGTGGCTGGATAGGTGATTGAGTGGCTAGGTGGGTAAGTGGCTAGGTGGGTGAGTGTGTGATTGTGTGACTGACTGAGCGAGTGGCTAAGGGGGTGAGTAACTAGGTGGGTGAGTGTGTAATTGTGTGATTGTGTGAGTGTGTGACTGACTGGGTGAGTGGCTAGGTGGGTGAGTGGCTAGGTGGGTGGGTGAGTTAGTGAGTCAGTGAGTGAGTCAGCGAGTGAGTGGCTGGATAGGTGATTGAGTGGCTAGGTGGGTGAGTCATCAGTTGAGTAGGTGAGTGAGTGGCTAAGGAGGTGAGTGGCTAGGTGGTTGAGTGTGTGATTGTGTGACTGACTGGCTGGATAGGTGATTGAGTGGCTAGGTGGGTGAGTCATCAGTTGAGTAGGTGAGTGAGTGGCTAGGTGGGTGAGTGGCTAGGTGGGTGAGTGTGTGATTGTGTGACTGACTGGGTGAGTGGCTGGATAGGTGATAGAGTGGCTAGGTGGGTGAGTCATCAGTTGAGGAGGTGGGTGAGTGACTAGGTGGGTGAGTGTGTAATTGTGTGACTGACTGGGTGAGTGGCTAAGTGGGGGAGTGGCTAGGTGGGTGAGTGGCTAGGTAGGTGAGTGTGTGATTGTGTGACTGACTGAGCTAGTGGCTAAGTGGGTGAGTGGCTAGGTGGGTGAGTGTGTGATTGTGTGACTAGGTGAGTGAGTGGCTAGGTGGGTGAGTGTGATTGTGTGACTGACTGAGCGAGTGGCTAAGTGGGTGAGTGGCTAGGTGGGTGAGTGTGTGATTGTGTGACTGACTGGGTGAGTGGCTGGATAGGTGATTGAGTGGCTAGGTGGGTGAGTCATCAGTTGAGTAGGTGAGTGAGTGGCTAAGGGGGTGAGTGGCTAGGTGGGTGAGTGTGTGATTGTGTGACTAGGTGAGTGAGTGGCTAGGTGGGTGAGTGTGTGATTGTGTGACTGATTGGGTGAGTGGCTAGGTGGGTGAGTGGCGAGGTGGGTGAGTGGCTAGGTGGGCGAGTGTGTGACTGACTGGGTGAGTGGCTAAGTGGGTGAGTGGCTAAGTGGGTGAGTGGCTAAGTGGGTGAGTGACTAGGTGAGTGAGTGGCTAGGCGGGCAGGTGACTAGGCGGGCAACTAAGTGAGTGACTAGGTGAGTGACTAGGTGAGTGAGTGACTAGGTGAGTGAGTGACTAGGTGAGTGGCTAAGCGGGTAAGTGGCTAGGCGGGCAGGCAACTAGGCGGGCGACAAGGTGAGTGACTAGGTGAGGAGTGACTAGCTGAGTGAGTGACTAGGTGAGTGAGTGGCTAAGTGGGTGAGTGACTAGGTGAGTGACTAGGTGAGTGAGTGGCTAAGTGGGTGAGTGACTAGGTGAGTGACTAGGTGAGTGAGTGGCTAAGTGGGTGAGTGTGTGATTGTGTGATTGACTAGGTGAGTGGCTAAGTGAGTGAGTGACTAGGTGAGTGAGTAGCTAAGTGGGTGAGTGACTAGGTGAGTGACTAGGTGAGTGACTAGGTGGGTGAGTGGCTAAGTGAGTGAGTGTGTGATTGTGTGACTGACTAGGTGAGTGGCTAAGTGAGTGAGTGACTAGGTGAGTGAGTGGCTAAGTGGGTGAGTGACTAGGTGAGTGACTAGGTGAGTGAGTGACTAGGTGGGTGAGTGACTAAGTGAGTGACTAGGTGAGTAAGTGACTAAGTGGATGAGTGACTAGGTGAGTGACTAGGTGAGTGAGTGGCTAGGTGAGTGAGTGGCTAGGCGGGCAGGTGACTAAGTGAGTGACTAGGTGAGTGACTAGGTGAGTGAGTGGCTAAGTGGGTGAGTGACTAGGTGGGTGAGTGACTAGGTGAGTGACTAGGTGAGTGACTAGGTGAGTGAGTGACTAGGCGGGTGACTAGGCGGGTGACTAGGCGGGTGACTAGGTGAGTGACTAGGTGAGTGACTACGTGAGTGACTAGGTGAGTGACTAGGTAAGTGACTAGGTGAGTGAGTGACTAGTTGAGTGACTAGGTGAGTGAGTGACTAGGCGGGTGACTAGGCAGGCGACTAGGCGAGTGACTAGGTGGGCGACTAGGCGGGTGACTAGGCAGGTGACTAGGCGAGTGACTAGGTGAGTTACTAGGTGAGTGACTAGGTGAGTGACTAGGCGGGTGACTAGGTGAGTGACTAGGTGAGTGACTAGGTGAGCGGGTGAGTGACTAGGTGAGTGACTAGGTGAGGGACTAGGCGAGTGAGTGACTAGGTGAGTGACTAGGTAAGTGACTAGGTAGGTGAGTGACTAGGCGGGTGACTAGGTGAGTGACTAGGTGAGTGACTACACGGGTGACTAGGTGAGTGAGTGACTAGGTGAGTGAATAGGTGAGTGAGTGGCTAAGTGGGTGAGTGTGTGATTGTGTGACTGACTAGGTGAGTGGCTAAGTGAGTGAGTGACTAGGTGAGTGAGTGGCTAAGTGGGTGAGTGACTAGGTGAGTGACTAGGTGAGTGAGTGACTAGGTGGGTGAGTGACTAAGTGAGTGACTAGGTGAGTGAGTGACTAAGTGGATGAGTGACTAGGTGAGTGACTAGGTGAGTGAGTGGCTAGGTGAGTGAGTGGCTAGGCGGGCAGGTGACTAAGTGAGTGACTAGGTGAGTGACTAGGTGAGTGAGTGGCTAGTGGGTGAGTGACTAGGTGAGTGACTAGGAGAGTGACTAGGTGAGTGAGTGACTAGGCGGGCGACTAGGCGGGTGACTAGGCGGGTGACTAGGTGAGTGACTAGGTGAGTGACTACGTGAGTGACTAGGTGAGTGACTAGGTAAGTGACTAGGTGAGTGAGTGACTAGTTGAGTGACTAGGTGAGTGAGTGACTAGGCGGGTGACTAGGCAGGCGACTAGGCGAGTGACTAGGTGGGCGACTAGGCGGGTGACTAGGCAGGTGACTAGGCGAGTGACTAGGTGAGTGACTAGGTGAGTGACTAGGTGAGTGACTAGGCGGGTGACTAGGTGAGTGACTAGGTGAGTGACTAGGTGAGCGGGTGAGTGACTAGGTGAGGGACTAGGCGAGTGAGTGACTAGGTGAGTGACTAGGTAAGTGACTAGGTAGGTGAGTGACTAGGCGGGTGACTAGGTGAGTGACTAGGCGAGTGACTACACGGGTGACTAGGTGAGTGAGTGACTAGGTGAGTGACTAGGTGAGTGAGTGACTAGGTGAGTGACTAGGTGAGTGGCTAAGGGAGTGACTAGGTGAGTGACTACGAGTGAGTAGGTAAGTGACTAGGCGAGTGACTAGGCAGGTGACTA